TTGACTTCTAAGAGGTTCCTCCTACTCAGGGGTAAAGAGACAGGGAGGGCAAGAAGAAGAAACTTTGAGCTCCTCTTGGAGGTTTGAGTGTGTAGCCAAGAGAATCCTTTCATAAAATAAAGACTTCTTTAATATTCTGAATAATAACTTTTTACCTACATTGTTCAATATGGTAGCCACTAGCAGCCACATGTAGTTATTTATAATTTAATTAATTAAAATGAAATATAATGAAAAATTCAGTTCCTCAAGCACACTAGCCACATTCCAAAAGCTCAACAGCCACATGTGGCTGGTGGCTATCACACCAAACTGCAACAAATACAGAACATTTCCATCATTACAGAAAGTTTTATTGAACTACACTGTTTTGTACTATGGATTTTCTAATTTTTTTTTCCTTTCATATATCCTCTTAATGAAGGATCCAGAATATTTCACTCCACTCTTCAGTAGACTTCCCCAAACGCCAGGAAATAAACTCAGATGCCTGCCTGTTCATGCACAGTTTTAACATGTGCTTACTAGATCCCTTACCTCCAAAACTGAAAGCCTAAATATAAATGTATGGCTAGGAGTCTAGGATGGTCTATTCTTTTAGGATACATATCAAGCCTTTGTCAGATTCACAAGCAGACAAAAACACTGGAACACACAAGCTTTCGGGTGGAAATGACTTTAGAACAACAGAAATGGAAGGAGACAAATCTCACTAAATCTTACGAACTCTCTGAGTGGTATACCGTATTTCTGGAAAATCTTTCAATGATAATGCAGAAGGAAAGTCTTGTCTGCAAACACCAGATAAGAGTCCTCCAGAGGTACACAGTCTTAAAATGCTTAAACAGGGACAATGGCGTCTTTGGGCTTCAAGTTATCTTCTTTGCCCTATTGGTTCTCACAGACAAATAATGACAAGTCTTGACAGCTAAAATGAAGACCACATATACTATACTGTGATTTGTCTGCTAAAGTACAATATTTGTTCCAAAGATTATGATGAATTATGATGAACAGATCTAAGCAAAGTCCCTAAAAGATTAATCATCTTGTTTGCTAGGCAGAAGACTCCCTACCACTTTTAAATTTACCTGATGAGCAACCAGCATTGATCCAGCAAAAACAAGTTTTTCAGGTCATACAATCACCTTGCATTTCAACTTGAGGGAGAGCTAAAAGTACACATCTGTTTCAAAGACATAAAGCCAACCCTCAAGAGGCAAATTTCTGGAGAACACCCAAAAATATGGGACTTGAGAATGGGTTTTGCAGTGCATCAGATTAGCTGACTGAAGTGTGAATACAGCATCTGGCTCAGAAGTGAATGCTTTCATGAATTCCAAGTCTAGATAGGTCTTTCAACTACTACAGTATGGACTGTGCTGAGATCTCTCTCTCCTTTGCAGTTATCACACTTATTGTCTGCTTTTGTCATTCGACACTCAATCAAGTACTGCACTGCATACTATCCCCTGTGTTGTCTTGTACAGCTTTTTAACTTTGGATGTGTGTTTACAGACTTACTATCCCCTGTGTTGTCTTGTACAGCTTTTTAACTTTGGATGTGTGTTTACAGACTTCAACTGCACTGTAAGCTCTCCGACTGTACATTACAGTTCTTTTCTTCGTCCTAACATCCAGCAGACAGTAAACACTCAAGTATTTGGCGAATGGAGATATGAAGACAAGGTCTACAGAAAAGAACAGAAAACCACCTATTTGTTAATCTGACTCCAAAATTAGGCTGAAATTGCTAGCAGACTAATTTTCTTCTGGCAAACAAACAAAAAGCAACAAAACTTCAGAACCAAACAATAACGTGTAGCAAGGCAGTCTCAAACACATCCATTTTATCCAACTGGCTGAACAAATACCAGTAACAGGACATATCAGACTTCAAAATGAAAGTCTTTGCAGCAATAAAAAAAAAGTTTATATCTGACTTTAAGTTAAAATTCTGTGTGCTTAGAAATATACATATTCGCTTGGAGAGTATTTAAAAATAGTACTTTGGTAGCAAAATCCAAGAGTCATTAATTCAATTTCAATATTTAAAACTTTAATACTGTATAGATAAGAGGACTGAGGCACAGTCCAGAGAAGGGAAGTGACGTGCTTTAAGGTTACTCAGGAAGGTGGTCCGCAAAGAGGCTAGGACAGGACTCAGCTTGCTGTTGCCTTCATATGATGAGGTGAAGGCTGCTACAACAATATATTGAAACTACGATTAAGGGAAAGTTTCAGGGAAAAACTGAAGTTACTATGTATCATGCTTCCTTTCAAATTTAGAAGAAATTATTTACTGGGTCTTCATAATTGAATTTTGATAGATATTTAAATACATTTGACCAGAAATGTAATTGACGCACATGGTGTTCCTTCCCTGGGAGCCTCTGACATGAATTCACACTTAAGTGAGCTACATTAGCCTATACAAGATGTGTTTCCAGGTCCATATCTTACTGCACTACTTTGTTTCTATTTTTCAAATTCTAAAGCAAAAAGGATTACTTAATTTCTTTTTGCAGTTCTCATTAACACGATAAAGTAAAAGAGATTTCTGAATTACTTGTTCTAAATTGGCATTTCTGAAACTAGGATCAAAAGATTTGTTTCAGGGGTTTGGGATTCTCTGAGAATTTTCTAAGGTTGTGTTTTTATTTTCATAAATGTAATCTGGAGTACTTGGACATCCACCTCATAATTGTGTAAAGCTATGATTTCAGTGACTACGTATCCTTCTATGCTTAAGATTATATTCATATTAAGCCTCCTAGAGGGACAGAGCATAGTTTTTAATGCAGTTTTTTCAAATTGGGTTTCAAAGTCTATGTTTTGGGGTTAACGTTTGAGTAACACTGCTCTAGATTTCTATACTTTCCAAAATTCTCCTTCTAGACTTAGTTTATTTGGTGAACTTAACAAATATGTATCCAGTGCCTACTATGTGCTAGGCACTGGAAATACTGTTGTGAATAAGAGATACCAGAACTTGTCCTTACGGAACTTATAATTCCGGCAGGCAAGACCTACATTGTTAATGAAGAAGTCTGGTTCCTTGGTTCAAATCAGACTTAAGGAGTAGAGCACTTAAAAAAGAAAACAAAAAACAGTTATCTACCCTCCTTGCCAACTGCTGCTGTGGATCAGAGAAACCATCACCATCATCTATATAGTCTCAAAATAGTCTAAGAGATTGAGGTCAATTTGATCTTATCTGTTTGGAGACAGATAAGACGATCCTCTTTCAAAAATTCTTCAGAGACACTTTATCTCCTTTCCTTGCTTTAGGTTATGTTTCTCATAACCGGACAAAGATGCAACCCAACTAAAGATTTCCTGGTTATCTGAGAAACAATTTTATAATCAGTGAGATTTATAAGCAGTGAGTTTTGGATAAGACACTGTTTCCTTTTGATTGGGAAATTTCTATGGACAAAAATCAATAAAGCTAGAACAATTACAAATACCTAAAGTGCACTTCTAAACTCAAGAAAAGTTCATGGATAGATGCTAAACAGTACAATGCAAAAACTCTCCCCCAAATTTAACCTTGAACAGAACAACAAATGAGATTCAGAGAACAGTGGCTCCTGTTAGCTACAACTTAAATCCTACCTGTAAACTATCACCTTAATGACACCCTTGTTCAAAAAAGGCGGGGAGGGGGGGACGGAACCCAGAGGTACATGTTATCAGGTAAACCAATTTAATTTTGTAATTGAGAAACGGGTGTCAAATTCCCTGAACAATAGTTAATAGGTTTGAAATATCTTGGTTTCTGGACCAAATTTTCTAAGCAACAATGTCCTCAGAAGAACACTACTTGAGCCAAGATCTCTGGAACTTTGGAGCGATCTCCTTCTCTAGTGTGAGTATGATAGTTCTTACTGGATTTCTACCCCACAAGGAGTTCCCAAAAAAGTGTCATCCCTGCCAGAAGTACACAGATACTATAACTCTGAACAAGAAGGAGTTCCGTGAAAACTAGGAGAAAGAATCCTACCAGAATCTTTCAGCAGACACTGTGAAGAGGGAACCAGCTTACCTAAAAAACAACTCCGTATCTGCCAAGACTACAAATCTGAACTCCTAGATTAAAAGTCAGTAGCAAGAGCAAAACGATAACCCGGCTGGAGGTGAAATTTCTAGCCCAAATTAAGCCTCTGTATTTAAACATTCAGGTACACAAGGATGGCCAGATGCACAGTGAGAACTTTACTTGTCACCGAGGCCGGCACAACAGCTAAAGCAGGGGAAAACGGGCTTTCAAGAAGTTTAGTCAGAAACATAGCAGGGCCTCAAACCAACCTAACTCTGCAGGCATCACACTCCAAATTCCAGACCAACTACCAGCCAGGCTAACTGTGTGCTCCTAACTCCACGAAAGCAATACACTATCTGGCTACAACCGAACCTTTCCAATTCTCCAAAGCATCTCAAGACTTGGTCGCCCTTCGAGTTAGAAGCAAGCTCAAGTCGGAAGACGACTGACACAAAGGCCATCGTCCGAAGGCGCCTTTCATACGGCTCTGCCCCTGCCACTCACTTGAAAATTCCTAAACTGGGGGCTCAGCGGCCCCGCTCTTCTACCCTTGCTCCATCCCGCCCCGGCCGGTAAGCCTCTGCCTAGGAGCCCCCGGCCTAGAACAAAGCGAGGGGCCCCGGCGGTGGGGGCGAGAGGCGCGGGCAGCACGGGGACCGCCGCCCGCCGCACAATGAGAAACTACCAACTTCAGAGCGCAAGAACATCCTCAATTGGCAAGAAAGAGGGGCGGCGGCAGGCACGCCCAACTTCAAACTCAGGAAACCTACGGGCTGGCGGCCATCTGGAAAAAAGCCCCCTTCCCAGGGAGAGAAGAAAAAGGCGGAGGAGATGCGAATCGCCCACCGGGCCCCGGAGGGGAGCCCTGCGCTCAGACCGGCCCCCGCCCCCGAGGCCCGCTTCCCCGCCTTCTCTCTGCCTCTGGTTCGCTGCCCCAGGCCGGGCGGCCGGTTACCTTGATGCGCTCCCGGCACTGGGACGGGGTCCGCTCGTAGCCCAGCTCGGCCAGGGCCCGGGACACGCGCTCGTACATGGCTGGCCCGGGGGCCTTGCTGCCGAACACCGTGCCGGCTCCCTCCAGCTGCTGGTACCGCGCCTCCACCAGCCGCTCGTTGCCCCACACTGCGATGAGCGCGTTCGTCTCGGCCGGCGTCCACGACATGCCCCGGCAGGCGGCGGCGGCGGCTGCCGCAGCCCCGCCACCGCCGCCACCAGGGGAGAAGGAGACCGAGGACGAGGCGGCGCTGCGGCCCCCCAGCCCCAGCCCGAGACCCCCGGACGCCGCTGCCCCCGAGCCCGCCGCACTGCCCGGCCCGAGTGGGGAGGCACCCCGAGGCGTGGAAGGGTCGGAGAGCGATGGATTTCCGTCGCTTAGGCCACCAGGAGAAGCCGGGGAGAGCACCTCCATCTTCGGGATTTTTAGCGGCGAGTTGGCGGGCAGCTCCGAGCCACAGGGCGCAGCCATCTTCCAAGCGGCCGCCGCTGCACCGCCCGGAAGTGACGCGCCCGCGCATCCGGCCGCCGCGGACTCCGGGGCTGCCCTCGGGCCTGGCTCTCCAGCGGGCTGACGGCTGCGGGCCCTGGCGGCCCCGCGGAGGCCGCCTGTCGCCCCAGGCCTCTCACCGCGAGCCCGGCCGCGCCGCCCGCTCCTCTCCCGGGGCGAGGGGCGGCGGTGAGGCGCGCCGAAGCCCCGAGCCGAAGAGTAGGGTGGGGGCATGAGGGCGCTGGTGTGAGGAACCGATTGAAGCCTTCCCACTTCCTCTCCAATCTCAGCCCCTGGGAGGAGGGGTGAGGCCCGCGAGGGGGCCCAGAGTTAAGGAGGACTTGACCATTTGGCTCGCTCGCTCGCCTCTCTCCCTCCGCTCTGCCTCTCCCCACTCGGAACTGGCCTCGGGGTGCAGAGGCTGACGTCCAGGGCGGAGGCTGGGGAGCCCTGCGCAGGGCACAGCTAGGAAGGCGCCGAGGCTGCAGGGGGAGGGTTTCTGGGGAAGTCTTTAAAAAGCATTTGGGGATCAGGGTTGGAGTTCCTGCGGCGTAGCTTTTCAGGAAATCCAAGCGCATTATTTGAAGAGCAACTCTGCTTCCAGTTCTGATCTATTTTCTAGTTAATCTGGGTGGGTGTGACGATTTGTAGAATAGTTAGATGTCTTTATTGCGCTTGCACGTTTTGTCTACAACTTAAATAGGTAGGAACTCCCGAGCTCAGCAGAAAAGTTACTTTACAATACCATTCTCCATCCTCCCTAATTTGGAAGTTGCATGTTTTTCCCACAGTGTTTCATGCTCTCAAGTGTAAGGAGGCTAAAAAGAAGACTCTCAATTATGACAGCTGTTGTGACCTCCGGTAATTAGTGGTAATCGCGCCTGAATCCTCCATAACATGCTGCAGTTTAATGAACATTAACACCCCAAGTTCAATACATCACTGTAAGGTATTTCAATATTCTTCAAAGCCAAAAATCTAATTGTTTATCTTGGAGCTTTAACTTGAAGGCCCCAGCTGATTTTTTTGTTCAAATATGAATAAGCTATGCAATGTTCTTTTAAATAGCAAATATATTTTAGGTTTTTTCAAAAAAAAAAAAAATAGAGCTAAGGTCAGCTACATTTTAAACTCAGAATCACTCCAGAGAATGACATGGTTGTCATTGGAAAGCCAAAGGAATAAGCAATAGGGTTTAAGTAGAGATAATTGTCTCCGTATGTCATATTAAAATGTCACTGTAGTTTATGTTAGCAATATGAAGAAACAAAGAAATTCCAACATGTATGCTATCTCTTCCTCTTTTTCTAAGAAAAATATATAGTATATGTATAACTGATTCACTTTGCTGTACACCTAAAACTAACACAACAGAGTAAATCAACTATACTGCAATAAAAATTAAAAAATAAATATTTCACATCCTTCCAAAGATAAATAACTAAATAAAAGATATAGTCTAGCACCTCAGTTAAGTGTATGAATTCTAGAGTCAGAATACCTGGCTTCAAATTCCAATTCTGCAACCTCAGCCAACTTATGTGCCTAACCTCTCAGGGCCTCGGTTTCTTCATCTATAAAATGAGGATGACCTCACAGTATTGTCATGAGAATAAATGTGTTAATACAGATAAAACCCTTAGAATGGTGCCTGGTTCACATAAACATGTATGAGCATTAGCTGTCATCTCACTTTGCCTGTATTCTCGTTAATAGGATCTTCCCTTTGTCGCTTTCTCTCCACTTCTGGCTTTCAGTGTTCTCATTTCCAGTTCTCTTAAGGGCTCTAGTGGAAGCTCAAACACCTATCAAAGCAAAATTCACTATCATTCAGCCCAACAGTAAGTTTTTTAATGTCATAAGCTGTATGAAAGGGAGTGACATGCCTAGAATCAAAATGAAATCAGAAACTCCAAGGAGTTTTAAAATCATTGCTTCTCCTGCTCTCATTTTACCACAAGCCTGAAAAAAAAAAAATCCTCCCTCCTTCTACTGTTAATTCTGGATGATTCTCAAATCAACTCTGACTCATTCAGGAAGCCTTCCTAGATGAAGTGGGTTGACTGAGAAGTCTCCCTTCCCACAAACTTCTGTTTCTAGACATTATTTCTACATACCCCCCCTTTATTCCCACACCCATCAGTCTATCCAATGAGAAAATCTTGTATCAAAAATAAAATTTCTGGGCTTCCCTGGTGGCGCAGTGGTTGAGAATCCGCCTGCCAGTGCAGGGGACAAGGGTTCGAGCCCTGGTCCAGGAAGATCCCACATGCCGCCGAGCAACTAAGCCCGCGAGCCACAACTACTGAGCCTGTGTGCCACAACTACTGAAGCCTACGCGCCTAGAGCCCGTGTTCCGCGACTAGAGAAGCCACTGCAATGAGAAGCCCGCGCACTGCAACGAAGAGTAGCCCCCGCTCGCCGCATCTAGAGAAAGCCCGTGCGCAGCAACGAAGACCCAACGCAGCCAAAAATAAATCTATTAAAAAAATATTTTAAAAATAAAATAATAAAATTTCCGTTAACACCCTGAAGTTAAAACGAAGCCAATAATGTAAAAGCTATTAATATGTGTTCCATAGTACAGAGGCACTGCTATATAGTCCACCAGGACCATGTGATCGTCGTGTTGGCTTCCTGTGGCCGCTCCTAGGTTCCAGAAGTTGTGCGATATACTTGTTCAAGACTTCATGGTTTAATTAGGACTTATGGAATGGCTACTATGATTGAAGTAATATGCTACACCTTTTATTGTGGATCTAAATGGTAGTCATAAGTAGATAAAATCTTATTTGAGAGATAATATATGAAACGTCTCAAAAATATAATAATGGGCAAAAGAGTACACAACAATACAAATCTTCCACCTGTAAAATATACACTACTCCCTTTAACCCTATCAGCCCTTATCCGTTTCCTCCACAATCTGAGTCAAGTGTTTGTTTTCCCAGCTTTTCTATGAAGCCTTCCCTAATCTGTTGGACAGAAGTCCTCCATCTAATACCCATTCACACAACTTAGCACTTCACATTAAAGTTTTCTGTTTCAGAAGCTTAGTTAATTCTGTTGCATCCTCTCTTGCTGTGTTTTACGACTGTCAGTGTGTTTGTTGCTTTATCTTTTTGCCCTTCAAATTCCATATCAAGTCCCCGTTACCTGTACCTCTAAACTATTTCCTAAATCTGACTACTTCTCAACCCTGGTCCAAGCCTCCATCGTGTCTTTACTGGGCAACTGGACTTCCCACTTGCATACTTGCCTGCTTACACAGTAGCCAGAGTGAACTTGGTATTTTAAAACTTTGTTCTCATGAAATATAACGTGCATATAGGGGAGTACATAAAACGTACGTGTACAACTACTATATGAATTATGAAGCAAATACTATATAATCACCACCCAAGACAGGAAATAGAATATAGCCAGCACGTTAGAGGCCCTACCTTACAATCCCTTCCCAATGTTAACCCCTATCTCCCTCATAAAGTCACTATCCTGACTTGCCTTTCTTTATAGTTTTATCACTTGATTATACATCGCTAAAAGTTTTCCCTGGTTTTGAATTTTTTGGAAATGAAATCACATGTATTCTGTGTCTGGCTTCTTTCGTTCAATATTATGTTTTTAACTAAGGTTCATCTATTCTCTATGAGGCTGCAGTTTATTCATTTTTGTTGCTGTAAAATCATCTGTTTTACGAACATATCCCATTTTATTTATCCATCCTACTGTTGAATCTTTGGGTTGTCTCTAAATTAGGATGTTATGAATAAGGCTGCTACAAACATTCTTGTACATGTGTCTCCCAGTGCATATGTGCAAGTGCTTCTGCAGAGTATATGCCTCCCCCTCCCTTCTTTCCTTCCTCCTTTCCATGTGGATACACAATTACTCCAACTCCATTTACTGAAAAGACCATGCTTTCCTTCCTTTTTTTGCAATGCCAAAAAAAGGCATTTATGTCTCTTTGACATAAATCAAGTGTCCATATGTGCATGGGTCTATTTCTGGGCTCTTGTGTTACATTGGTCCATGTATCCATTTTTCTATTTGTGTTCCTTGTGGCAATATCACACTGCCTTAATAGTGGGTCACACTGGCTTTATGATAAGTCTATATCAAGTACAGAAAGTCCCTCCTCCTCTTCCTTTCTTCCTCCTCCTTCTTCAAGAGTGGCTTGCTATTCTTAATCCTTCACATTTCCATATACATTTTAGAATTAGCTTGTCAAATTCTACAGAAAAAGCTGTGGGTATTTTGATTGCTATTGCATTGAAACTATGGACCAATCTGAGAAAAACTGACATCTTTATAGTAATTGGTCTTACAATCCTGGAAAATAGTATATCCATTTATTTAGTCTTTAGTTTCTCTCAAAAAAAATGTTTGTAGTTTTCTGCATAAAGGTCTTACACATTTTTTGTTGGATTTATTCCTAGGTAGTTGGTATTTTTAAAACACTCTTGTAAATGGTATTACGTTTTCATATTTTATTTTCTAATTGTTTTGCTGGCATATAATAATGCGATTGATGCTTGAATGCTGATTTTGCGTCTAAATAATCCTGACAGATTGGTCTTTTAAAATTGTAAATCATTGCATATCATTCCCTTGTTAAAAACCCACCAGTGGCTTCCCACTGTAAAAATATAATCCAAACTCTTTGTCATGAGTGTGGTGATTTAAGAACATATCCAATTCTCTTCCAATAAGAAGAATTTATGTTCCTTCCCCTTGGACCTGGGTGAATCTTTGTGACTACCTCGACGAACCAAATGTGGTGGGAGTGACATTGTGTGACTTCAAAGCTAGGTTTGGAAATACCCTGAAGCTTCTGCCAGTTTCTGTTGATATACTTGCTCTCAAAACCTTTAGCCACCATGTACAAAATTGGACTACCCTAAGTCCATGTGGAGATACCAGAGAGAGAGAGAGAGAGAGAGAGAGAGAGAGTGCGGGGGGATGCCCAGGAGCCAGAAATGTTC